ATTTTACCTTTTTTTTTTTTTTTTTTTTTGCATATATACATATATACATATATATATATAATCAAATATATATAAACTAACAGTTTTAATAATTATATTAAAGATTATTATTTTCTCTTATTTGCTCAAATTAATTTAAAATACTATTAAAAATAAGATAGAGCCAAATTAATTCAAATTTAGGGAAAAAAAGAATACTAATATTTTTATTGATCAGTTTTAAAAAGTTATGTATATATTTATAATTTTTATGGAAGCACAAAAATACAAAAATAATTATTAGATCTCCTTAATTTTTTTTTAATAATTTCAACAATGTTTTTACAGTTATATTTTTTCTTTTAGATGTACTTTTTATAATTTTTTTTTTTCATCTAGAATATCATTTAAAGTTTTTTAATTTTCTATATAATAATTTTCATTGTTAGGAATATTCTCTCTCCTTAAGTTTTTTATTCTTCACTATTTTTATTAGGTTTATTATTTTCTATATTTTTATAAAGATTCTCTTTTTCTTCTATTAAGTCCATATTTTTGTCAAAATTTTGAAAACTACCATTATTATGAGCATCGTTATTATAATCACTATTTTTAACAGATAAATTAAAATTTGTTGATTCAGAACTTGTTGAATCACCATCTTCATTTATTTTAGAATTAACTTGAACTTTACTATTAGAACAATCATATTTAATTGTACTAATATCATTTTCTATTTTTAATGGATTGTTTTCAGAATTATTTTTTGTCTCATTTGAAGGGTCTGCAAAATTGCATAGTTCAACTGGGCTATTTTTACCTGTAAAACTTTCATTTTCATTTCTCTCTAATTTGTTATTTTCTATTTGGAAATCATTACTTTCCTTTTTTATTTCTTCTTCTTTTATCATATTTTTTTCTTTTTTCTCATCATATGTATTAGCAAATTCAATGATTTTTTCGTTCATTTTATCATCTTTCTTTATTTCTATTTTTTCATTCTCTCCTTTTTCTTCATTTATTTCTTTCTGTTCATTTTTTTCATTATTTTTCATATTTTCTATTTCTCCTTCTATTTCTTTTTTATAATTTTGTTCAACGTCGTCAATTTCTTTTTCTTCTACATCTTGTTGTCTAGTATTTTCTTCTCTCTCTTTCTGTTCTTCTATATGTTTTTTTTCTTCACATATAAATATTTCTTCTTTTTCCTTCTCTTTATATTCTATTTTGTTTCCTTCATTTTCTTGACTTTCCATTTCCTCTTTTTTTTCAGATTCTTTTTCTTGTATTTCTTTCCCATTATCATTCTTTTCATATTTTTCTTCTTCTATTTTTCCTTTATCCATTTCTTCATCAAGTCTTCCCTGCTCTTTACCTTTCATTTCTTTCACTCCATCAGTTAAATCATTTTCTCGTTCTTCCGTTCTTTCTTTTTTTATACTTTCTTTTTCTGTTTCTTTTTTTTCTTCATCCTTTGTTTTTCTATTTTTTTGTTGTTCTTTCTCCTGCTTCTCTTGTTCTATTTCATCATTTTTTGTTGTTTCATTTTCTCTTTTTTCTTTTCTTTTTTTATGCTCAATTTCATTTTTTTCTGTTTCTTCATCATCTTCTGTTTCGGTTTCTGTTTCTGTTTCAGTTTCCGTTTCAGTTTCCGTTTCTGTTTCAGTTTCTGTTTCTTCTTCTATATTTTCTTCCTCTTCCTCATCTTCTTCATCTTTTTTTTTTTCATTTATTTCTTCTTTTTCATCCTCTTGATCTTTCTCTTTTATTTCTTCATCTACTCTTTCCTTTTTTTCATCCATATCTTTTTCTTTTATTTCTTCCTCTTTTTCATCCTCTTCTTCTTCTTCTTCTTCTTCCTCTTCTTCATCTTTTCCTTTTACTTCATCTTCTTCTTCCTCTTCATCTTTTTCTTTTCCATCCTCTTCTTCTTCTTCTTCTTCCTCTTCATCTTTTTCTTTTATTTCTTCTTCTTTTTCATCCTCTTCTTCTTCCTCTTCATTTTTTTCTTTTTCATCCTCTTCTTCTTCTTCTTCCTCTTCATCTTTTTCTTTTATTTCTTCTTCTTTTTCATCCTCTTCTTCCTCCTCTTCATCTTCTTCTTTTTCATCCTCTTCTTCTCCCTCTTCATCTTTTTCTTTTTCTTTTATTCTTTCTACATTGGCATCCTCTTCTTCATTTTCATCTTTTTCTTTTAATTCTTCTTCTTTTTCATCTGTTCCTTTTACTTCATCTGTTTCATTCTTTTCTTCATATTCTTCTTCATCTCTTTCTTGTATTTCCTTTTCTATTTCATCTTTTTCATTTTTTTCTTCATATTCTTCTTCATCTTTTTCTTCTATTTCCTTTTCTACCTCATCTTTTTCATTCTTTTCTTCATATTCTTCTTCATCTTTTTCTTCTATTTCCTTTTCTACCTCATCTTTTTCATTCTTTTCTTCATATTCTTCTTTATCTTTTTCTTCTATTTCCTTTTCTACTTCATCTTTTCATTCTTTTCTTCATATTCTTCTTCATCTTTTTCTTCTATTTCCTTTTCTACCTCATCTTTTTCATTCTTTTCTTCATATTCTTCTTTATCTTTTTCTTCTATTTCCTTTTCTACTTCATCTTCTTCATCTTTTTCTTTGATTTCCTTTTCTACTTCATCTTCTTCATCTTTTTCTTGTATTTCCTTTTCTACCTCATCTTTTTCATTCTTTTCTTCATATTCTTCTTCATCTTTTTCCTGTATTTCCTTTTCTACTTCATCTTTTTCTTGTATTTCTTCTTCGTTTGTTCCTTTTACTTCATCTGTTTCTTCTTCCTCTTCATCCTTTTCACTCTCATCTTCATCATCACCTTTTTTTTTTTCTTTTTCTTTTATTTCTTCTTCTTTTTCATCCTCTTCTTCTTCATCTTTTCCTTTTACTTGATCTTCTTCTTCTTCTTCATCTTTTTCTTTCACTTCATCTTCTTTTTCATCCTTTTCTTCATCTTTTCCTTTTACTATTTCATTTTCTTTATTTTTTCCTTTTACTTTTTCATTTTCTTTATCTTTTCCTTTTACTTTTTCATTTTCTTTATCTTTTCCTTTTACTTCTTCATTTTCTTCTTCCTCTTCTTTTTCATCATCTCCCTTTTTTTCCATTTCTTTTTTTATTTCTCTTCTTCTTATTACTTTTTTGTTTTTTTTTTGTTTCTTTTTTTTTTCTGTTTGATTTTTTTTAATATTTTTTTCTTCATCCTGTTTTTCTTGCTTTATTTTTTTTTTTTCTTGTTGTATTTCTTCAAATTCTTTTTCTTCTTCTCTCTCTTGTTCTTCCTTTTCTCCCTCTTTTAACTTTTCTTTTTCTTCCTTCTTTTTTTCATCTTCTTTTTCTTTTTGTTCTATCTCCTTCTCTCTTTTAACTTCTTGTTCAAATTCCACTTGATTTTCCTTTTCATTTTTTTTCTTTTTTTTTTCTGTTACTCTTTCTTTGTCTTTTTCTTGATCCTTTAATTTATCTGCTTCTTTTCTTTTCTCTCGTTCTATCTCCCTTTTTGTTTTCAATTGCTTATGTATAGTTTTTCCTTCATCTTGTCCCTCATTAATTTCTTTTTGAGTCACATTTGTATTTTTTTTTGATTTTTCTGAAAAGGAATTTCTTTTTTCATTTAGTTTTCTTTTTTTTTGTGAATCTATTTTTACATATTGTTCTTTTTTTTTTTCCTTCTCTTTTTCTGTTGGTTTTCTATTTCTCTTTTCTATTTCTTTCTCTTTTTCTTTTTCTTTTTCTTTTTTATTAATATTTTTACTTCTTAAATTTATCTTTTTTACTTCTTTCTTTGACGATTTAGCATTAATTATTTCTTTTATTTTACTAATGTTTTTAATATTCCCGTTATATTTTTTTGTTTCATTTTCTAACGAAACAAATGTTAATATATTATTTTCACTTTTAGAAATTAAATTTTGTATATTTTCAATTAAAGAATTATTTTTATTTAAAATGTTACTATTTTTTTTTGCTCTTTTATTTACATTTTGAACATAATTTTCTTGTAATCTTTGCTTTTTCTTATTTCTTGTATTTATTTCTTTAAAATTATTTTTAACTTGATTAATAATACTTTTTTTTTCATTTTCCTCTTCTTTACTACCCTTTTTCTTAATTTTTTCATTGGTTTCTTTATGTGTATTTTTTTTTTTAATAATTTCTTTCTTCTTTTTTAATTTCGCATTTATTTCTTCTTCTTTTTCATTTTCCTTACTTTCTTTTATAATTTTTTTTTTCTCATTTTTCTTCTCAATATTGTCTGTTTGCTCAATATCATTTATATACAAATTTCCTAAATTTAAATTAATTACTTTTTGTTTATTCTTATTTTTATTAGATTTTTTTAACTTTTCTGCTTTGCTTTTTATTTTTTTATCAAAATTTTTATATTTCTGTAAATCATTGTTCAAAATTATATTATTTTTTGAAATATCTTTAGAAATAGAAATTAATTTAACGATTTTATTATCTTTTTCATATTTAAAGGATTCCTCGTTTTCTTTTTTTATTTTCTTTTTATTAATTTTTTTATATAACATATCTAATTCATTATTTTCTGTTTCATTATTTTCTTCTTCATCATCTATTTTTAATTGATATTGTTTTCGCCTTTCGATAATTTTCTCTTTTTTATCTTCTCTTTCATCAATTTTATTTTTCTCTCTTAAAAAGTCTTTCAAATTTAATAATTCATTCTTTTTTGCATTTAAATTATTTTTTATCTCAATATCATTTTTATTTATCAAATGCAATTCATTTTCATTACTATCTAAAATTGGTTTAATTATATTTAAGTTTATTTCTCCACTGTTATTATTACTATTATTATCATTATTATTATTTTTTTTTGTATTTTTCATTTTTGTATTTTCACCCAAGTTGAATTTTTTATTTTTACTTTTAATTTGTTTTCTTAAAGATTTGAAAATTTTATTAATTTTTATATTATTAGTTTCATCATTTTTTTTATCTAGTAAATTCTCCTTTTTTTTTTTTTTTTCTTCTATATCTTTTTCATACAAGTTCTTGTTTTCATTTCTTAAATCAGCATATTTATCAGTTAGTTTTTTTCTACTTTTGTCATTTCTTTTTTTTTTTTCAATATCATAATTAAATTTTATTTTATTTAATTTATTTATTTCCATTTTACTTTTCACATTTTCACTTATTTTATCAATGTTTTTATATATTTCATCTTCATTTATATTTTTTTCTTTTTTTTTTTCATCGATATACTTTTTTATTTCTGTTAATTTTAATTTTTTATTTCTCTTTTTTTTAATAATATTATCTTTTGTTTTTTTTGATTTTTCATTTTCATTCATTTTAATGAACATATCATTTTTTATTTTTTTTTCATCATTAGTTAATTTTTCATTATTAATTTTTACCAAACTATTTGAAAATTTCTCCTCTATAATATTTTTTTCTATCAAAAATTTATGCAACATTTTATTTTCCTTTTCAACATTTTCTATTACTTGTTTTTTCAGAATATTTTTTGATGAATTTCTAGTTTTTATATCATTTTCATTATTATTTTTTTTATATTCATATAAATTTTTCTTATCCACTTTGAATTCATTGAATTTGAGTGAAATGATTTCCTGTGAATTTTTTCTTTTTTTATTTTTATTTATATCATTCTTTTTGCTAAAAAAATTTTTAATTTCTTTTATTTTGTTAATATCTATACTAATATTATCATTTTCTTCATTTTGATTTTCATTTAGAATTTTTAATTTTTCTAGATTTCTTAAATTGTTTTCTAAATGTTTTTTTTTAATTGTTGAATTTTTCACATATGTTTCATGTATTTCTGCACTTCTTGAAAATTTCTTATTTTCTGTATCCATCTTTTCAGTATTATTTTTTTTTATAATATTATTTTCACTATTTTTATAAAATTCTTTTGAATATTCGTCAATTATATTTTTTTTTTTTTTTTTTTTTATTTTCTTTAATTCCGTAATTTTCTTAGGTTTCATTTTTTTAATATGCTAGTTATATTTTAAGCATAAATTAACAAAACATAAAAAAAAAAAAAAAAATAAAAGAAATTTACATATCCTAGTTTTTTTACTTTTTATATAAAATATTACAGAATTTTTCTTTTTTTTTTTTTTTTTTTCTTTTTAATATGCTAATTTTAACTTATTTAGAATAACTAAATTTTTATGATTCACAATAAATTGTAATACTTATGCCAAAAAAAAAAAAAAAAAA